GCAGAGTGTTCCTGCTGTCGCTGTGATGATGAGTGGTTACTGAGCCAGGCCTGCTGAAGACGTCTTACTTTACCCTTGCAGCCCTTGTAGGTGGATGTTATGACCTGTGCTTTATGGGTTGGACAAGCTGGATTATGTAGCCTACTCAAGATCCCATGGGTAGAAAGCATCAGGGCTGAGATTTAAATATAAGGCTGCCTACTGCTGAAGCCCGTGGTGGGGTCCGCGTTTCAGGCTGCAGCTGGAAACCAACATTAGACTTGCCAATGTTGACCCACTGGCCTGTCACCAGAGCAGATTCACTTAAGTCTCCCTCTTTCCTTTGTTCAATCCCCCTTCCATCCCAGGGTGGCAACCACCCATGCGCAGGTTGGGGTAGTCTGTTGCTGTGCACAGTGACACTAGCTCCAGTTTAAATAACTCCTAGGAACACAGCTATGTCCCACAGGTGACTCTGCGCTAGGAGCCCTGACCTGAAAATTGTGCAAACAAAACTTTCAGCTTACACAGAGTTTCCTTTCTTACAGTTACCCCAACTGGTTTCTGAATAATGCTCACGGGAAAATTGAATAGTGGCTAGCTAAGCTTTCTAACGGTGCTTGCTGAGAAGTCCCAGGGCACTTAGGGAACTCTTTGGAAGAAGGTGTTAAAGCAGCTTTGAATTGCCTGTCGTCTGAGTATCCTCGTATGCCGAGCTGCGTGGGTTTCAGTAGGAACTTTAAGACGGAGGGAAAAAACATATGACTAGGGACCATCCCAGGCCCAAATAGGCCATCTCAGGAAAGGAGCGCTTGGCACCTGCCTGGCAGGGGTTGTGAGGAAGGCTGGGCAGGAAGAGCGGGCTCAGCCCCACCAGCCTCATGCCTGTTTGCTCTTCATGCCGGACCACAGGGATACAGCTGAAGACCCCCACGCCTTCCCATAGTTTTCCTTGTACGAAAACCTGGGCACCCTATGAACATTTCCTCTCTTCATCCTCACAGCCCTGTAGATGGATATGGATGTCAGTGTTCCCTTTGCCAGGGAGGGAATGGAGGCGTGTCTAGCATTCTACTCTCACCAAAAGCTCAGTGGTTTCACAGACGTAACCTCATGTCATGAATGCAAAGATTATTTGTTTGGGAAGTCCTCTGGCTTCCCTTCCCCTAGGATGAGTGAGCCAGGACGGCCTCAGTGCCTCCTAGTCTTGGTCTCAGAAGCTACTCACCATGGCTTCTGGCACGTGGCTAAATCTAGCCCACCCTCAGCAAGTGGGAAAGGAGTCTCCACCTTTGAAGGGAGAAGTGTCTAAGAATTTGTGGACACATTTTCAAACCACCACAGTCACTATTACCCAGTTGTCCTGATCAAACACATTCTCGTCAACCATGCCTGTCTTGTGAGGCTGAGGGTTGTTAAAGGCAGGGACCATGTCTCAGTCACATTGTAGCTGCACAACCAAGCATAGGCCTGGCACACTGTAGCTATCTAATATTTGAGACATAAAGTAACGAACAAATTGAGAGCATGAAACACCCTATTAATCATGGTAATTAGTTCTACTGGTGTCTAGGCAGTCTGGAGCCTATCTAAATTTACTGCTGTCTGAGTGACCTCCTGTAAGCTGTTTTTAGGTTAGAAAGAGGTTCTTTACAGTCCTTTGGGCTCTAACCAGCTGTAGTAAAACTGTGTGTGTGTCACAAGACTTTGAAGCTTCTGCAAGCAGCACAAATGCAGAGTCTCCCTGTTGTAGAGCTCCTGCTTCCTGACCGAGGTTTCCTGTTCCCTCTGCAGATTGCCCTGCTCCCCAACAATGCTGCTGACCTGGGCAAGTACATCACTGGTGACAAGGTGCTGGCCTCAAACACATACCTTCCAGGACCTCCCGGCCTGCCTGGCGGCCAAGGCCCTCCTGGTGAGTGTGGAGAAATTCACCGGAAGGGGATAGTCTCCAGGAAAGGCCTGATGAAAGCTCGCACACAGAGAAGACCTTGGGAAATTGATCCTCAAGCTTGAGAAACTGTCATAACCGATAGAAATTTAGGAGAAATAGGTCATTGTCCTGGGATTGGATAAAATTCCAAAAGATCATTTTTAAGTTATAGAGAAACAAGCTGAAAACTGTTTAACTTTATTCTGGAAAAATTTTAACATATATAAAAATCAAGCAGAATTATCAACCCCTCCGGGCTCATCGCTCAGTTCTAAACACTCAGGCCCAGCCTCATTCCCATGATGCCCCAATCTTCTTTCCACCTTTCTTATTTGTTAACATACCATCTATATTTTTATACCTAGCTCTATGTTTTTCTAAGTCAAATTTATTGAGATATTAATTGTATATAACAAAATGTACCCATTTAAATTTCAGATGGATGAGTTTTGACAAATACACTCACCCATGGAACTCCCAACCTATGGCTGTGTCAAGATACAGAGGTTCTTTGTGTCCATAAACAGTCTGACACCCCCACCCCCAGCACTAGGCCAGCACTGACCTGCTTTCTTTTACTATAATCTTACCTGTTCTAGAGTTGTATATCAATGTAATCTTTTTGTATTTGTTCTTTTTGTCTGGCTGCTTTTATTCAGCATTCTGTTTTGAAAACTAGCCCTTATTAATGTGAAGAAAATCCCAAATGCCCTGTCATTTCATCATTTTTAAAAGTGTTGTATATTTTGAGTCTATCCATATATAGATCAATAGATTTCTTTCATATCACTAAGGAAAATGACATCAGTGTTAGAAATGATTTGAAACCCTGATTATCACTGCTCAGCAGCATGGCAGGTGTTGTGAATAACCTCCTGCCAGTCTAATTGAAAAGACAAGATAGAGTAAAAATGGATCCACATATCCCCAAGAGGTTTCTTGCTTTGGAATCTTAAAGAAGGGAAAGATCACTGTAGACTATAGTGGTCAGAAGGATTTAGAGGGTTTCATCTGGACATGGAAGAGTGGTAGAATTTGTCCAAGCAGGAAGGACATGGCAGGTTTTAGTTTAGAAGGTCAGCAAGAACAAAGGCTCAGAGTTCTTCCCAAAGGACTTGGTCCTAGTTGCTTTTCATAAGTTCTCCTCATTTATGTCTTAATCTCCTGATTTCCATCAGACACAGGCCTGGGTCTCTGTAGAGAGTAAGAACTGGTTCATCCTTTGTGGACTCCCTTAGCCTGAGGTGCTGTGGGTCATGGTGGAGTTTTCTCCAGCAGATACCTCATACAGGCAGCCCTGTGCTGCTACTAGGCAGACTCCCTTACACAGTGAGGTCTCTCCCTTACAAAGTGATTCTAGCACAGCCACCTCTGTCCTTCTCTGAGAAAATGTTCTTGCTTTGCTTCCCTGGAGGGAGTCTTCGCCAGGCCAGTCTGGATATCTCTAGAGCGAGGACAGCTGCAGGAGTAGGAGAATCATTGGCTGTGGTGTACATAGTAAGTGACTAGCCAGATTCTTCTCCAGGCCTGCCGTCTGGTTTGAATGTGGTTTGAGCTGTCCAGGGTTCTTTCTTGGAACAGAGAGCTATTGAGAATGCATGAGCTCTTGCTGTGGACCTGGCCTTTGCATGGAGAAATTCTAGTCCTGTTTCTTTCTTGCTCATCTAGGTTTGTGAGTCCCTCTGTTGAGGTTTATTAGGGCAGCTGGAAAGCTAATAGGATTTCTCTTATCCTTAAATAAAAACCCAGTCCTGAGGCCTGTCATGAATCCCAGAGAGCAGCACCCACATGGGAAAGTACACTAGGTTGGGATCCTTTGGCCTTGGGGGTAGAGGAGTGGTTGCTGCCCTCTGGCCCCCACTGCTATGTATAAGAAGCTGCCACTTGTGCATCAGAGTCCCACATTGTAAAGGCACTTGACATACTGAAGTTCACTGAGTGTGTAAATGCAGGTAAGGTATCTCTTTGAGCTAAACATTTACTAAGCACTATTCACAGTAGTCAAGGTATGCCTGGCCTGTCTTTGTGCTACTGGGGGTAAAAATGTTTAAATACAGGAGGGATCTGGCTCCTCTCCAAGATAAACTCTCTCAGGATGTACCTGGAACCAGAATTGAGAGGGATTTTAAGACATGGTTGGATGGAACATTGCTTTTAACTTTGGCTTAATTATTCTTTGCATGAGAAAAGACTTCTTTAAATATGAAATGTCTAAAGTCTTTGTTTCTTGGTTTCATTTTGTGGAGCCTGAGAGTCATTCCGTTCTGTCACTGTGCTCTGTTAATGGTAGGGGTTAGGTGAGATCAAAAAGTAATATTGTCTGCATTTGAAAAAGACAATTATGAGGAATACATTTAGCACAAAAATCAACTCAGTCTCTTCAAAGCAGTCATTTAGCAAGAAACATTTACTAAGCAACCTGCTATGTAGCTGGGACTCTCTGAGAATGGGCTTATGCGTAAGACATACCCCGTGCATTACTGAGCTGGCAATTTTTCTAAAACAGGGATTAAAACTTAGTGTCATCTTGCATGCAAAAGAATAAAGTTGGATCCTTATACCTTTCACAAAAATTAATTCAAAATAAATGAAGGAGCTAAATATAAGACCCCACACTGTGAAACTCCTAGAAGAAAACATAGAGCAAAGTGTCATGACATTGTACTGAGCAATGATTTTTTGGATATGACCCCAAAGGCTCAGGCAAAAATAGACAAGTGGGATTACATCAAACTTTAAAAACATCCACATACCAAAGGAAAGCGTCAACAGAGTGAAAAAGTAACCTACAGAATGTGAGAAGATATTTGCAAGTTGTATATCTGATAAGGGATCAATATCCAGAATTTATAAAAAACTATTTCAACAAATAAAGTAACATGATTAAAAGATAAGCAAAGTACTTGAAAAGACATTTATACAAAAAAGATGTGCAAATGGCCAAGAAGCATGTTAAAAGATGCTCAACGCTGTTATGTAAACCAGGACTCCAGTATCATCCTACGTAGCCAGTAGGATGGTCATTATAAAAAAAAAAAAAATAGAAAATAGCATGTACCAGCAAGGATGTGGAGAAACTATAACCCCTGTGCAGTTTCTGGAAAACAGTATGGGGTCCCCCCCACCCCACCCCAATTAAAGATATTGGGGAGGCTGAGGCAGGAAGATTGCTTGAGTCTAGGAGTTTGAGACCAGACTGGGTACTATAACAAGACAATATCAAAAAGAAAAAAAAGAATTACTGAAAGATTGTGATCCAGCAACCCCATTTCTGGGTATATACCCAGGATCTTGACAAGTGATTTGCACACCCATGTTCATAGCAACACTATTCACAGTAGCCAAGTCATTGAAGCTACCATGTGTCTCTCAATAGATGAATGTGCACTATATGAAAAGTAACATATAGTATATGCATCCACTGAAATGTTATTCACCTGTGAAAAGGAGGTTCCGATATATGCTACAACATGGATGAGTCTCAAGGACATTAGGCTAAGTGAAATAAGCTGGCCAAATAAAAAGATGCTGTGTGATTATAGGAGGTATCTAAAATAGTCAAACTCATGGAAGCACCAAGTAGAATGGTGGTTACCAGGGGCCAAATAGAGGGGGAAATGGATAGTGGTTCAGTGGCTGCAGAGTTTGTTTTACAAGATGAAGTTGGTCTAGAGTTCTGTTGCACAACAATGTGATTGTACTTAATACGACTGGACTGTACATATAAAAAAGGCCAAGAAGGCACATTTTATCTTGTACATTTTTTAATCATGATTTTATTTAATGCTCTCAAAGTTACCACTCCCTGGCTGATGTTCAAGGCCCAATGTAGAGGTCAATGTGCTGATATCTGCACCTGCCAGACAGCTGTCATAACCATGGGCTTTGAGGAGGCAGCGTGGAATTAGCCAGAGCCCCCACTATGTGGCAGACATGCTGTGCCCCACACAGAAGCCAGGGGATGCCTCCGCCCCTGCTGCAAGCCCTGCCCACCCGATAGTGGCTCCCTACAACTCTCTGTGCTGTAGTTCAAAGTAGATGAGACCTCGGTCTCTTCCCCACCATCCTCCATGACAAGGGGCTATGACTGGATCCTGGCACACATACAAACTAACCTGGCACAAAAGCCGTCATATAGCTGATTCTTAAACGTGGTGTGCTCCCAGTGCTATGTTGATTAGGCCTTTATAAAGAAGGAAGACACACACGCCCCTCAACATCTACAAAGACAGTGATGTAAAGGGAGACTGGGAAGTGAGGAGATGGAGCCAAACCAGAGACCAAGCACATCCCCCATCCCGGCGCAGCCCCTCCCCTCTGTAAAGCTCCCGTGGGTGGAGCTGCGGCAGAATTGCAGTCCAGGTTTTGTTTCTTCCTGTTTCAAACTGAAGCCAGAAACCTAGATTTTTATATGAGATTTCCCAATTTTTTAATGTTAAGAGTACTTATAACTCTATATCCAGTGATCAGCATCAAAGGGTTAAAAGTAGGGAAGTTACATAGTGAACCTTGTTGTAGATTTGTTGTTCATATAAATGTGAAGAGTGGGTGAGGGTTGAACCCGACTGGTGGGGGGCAGAGACTAGAGATGAGGCAAACATAAGGAAGGCCTAGCATTTGTTGTTACGTGTTACGCTAAATGGGCTGTGTGTATCTGAACTCTCATTTATTAAAAATACAACTGGTCTATAAGGAAGACTTTTATCAGCCCAGCTTTACAGATGAGAAACTAAGGCTCACATAGCTCAAGCACCTTGTCTAAGATTCCAGCCTCAGTCTCTCTGATGCTAACACCTGTCCTCTTGCCTGCTGTCCAGCTATAGTAGCCCCTACCCTGCGGTAGTGGCTGCCACTCTGCTGTGACCAAGGGAACGGCAATGGAGCAGGCAGTCCAGTCACATGATGTTAAAGAGATAAAATGCACAGGAGCTGGTCACTAGATATGGAGGTTGTTAGAAATAGGGAACTACATAGGAAGGCATTCAAGTTCCTGATGTGAATGGATAGGCGACTCTTGGTCCATGAAGAGAAAGGAAGACAGGGAAGTCATTGAAGTTGAAGTGTGGGACATCCTAGGGGAGCTGTCATAAGACAGGTGGCAGAGTGCAGAGAGAAGGGGCTGCAGGAGCCCTGGGCTCTCGTCAGCCAGGGCCCTGTGTCCTTTTTATATAGGGGCTTTGAGCTAATAAGGTGTTCTTTGATTACAGGCTCACCAGGACCAAAGGGGAGCCCAGGCTTCCCCGGTGTGCCAGGCCCTCCTGGGCAGCCCGGCCCCCGGGGCTCAATGGGACCCATGGGACCATCTCCTGATCTGTCCCACATTAAGCAAGGCCGGAGGGGCCCTGTGGTCAGTATCTTATCAGACATCCACTTACTGTTGCTGGGGAAAGTGTGTCCTTGACCCATGCTTTTTGCTTTGTGTTCAACCGGATCCTTTTGTCTTGTAGGGCCCCCCAGGAGCGCCCGGAAGAGACGGTTCTAAGGTAAGTCTTGTGAGCGGTCCATACAGCAACGGCTTCTCCCTTTTGACCTGCTGTGCAGGTATCCAGGCAGGCTCAACCAGCACTATTTGCCATCCCCATTTGGCGTTGTGGCACAGTTGAGGCACAAATAAACATTTTTTTCCTAAAGCTGGGAACAAAATTTACAAAGCTATTTTCTGAGAATGTGCAACCAACCCTAAAAAATGACTCCTAGGAAAAACGACCGCTATAAATTTTAAATAAGCCTCTCTGTTCCGAAAGTCACGTGTGTTTTTCTCTTTACCCCGCGTCGTTTTATAGGGTTGTTTTTCATGTGTTCCCACTTCTGTGAGACGTTCAAGTCAAGAACAGGAGGAGTTCTGCTCAGTGCAAGTGGGTAGCAGTTGTACTTTGAGAGCCGCCTGCTCTGTGCCTCGTAAAGAAGTCAGTGTGAGTTACTTTAGAAGTGTCTTGTTATTCCACACGCTGCCTGGAAATAAACATTCCTCTTGTCAGATACGGTTTGAAAATATATGGCCTCTGGGAAATTCAGAATGAGAGACACTTGCCCCAACCAGTTCTGTTTAAGTAAGTGATCCCTTGAGTCCAGCTTCTAGTCTACATGTGTTTTCTGTAGCAAATATTTGTTTTATGTAGGGAAATGGCTATGATGGGTACATAAACAGAGACCATGATGGTGTCATCCTTGTGGCCCAGAAAGCTAACCTTGACCTTTGTGTTTTTAGGGAGAGAGAGGAGCGCCTGGGCCTAGAGGGTCTCCAGTAAGTAGCACTATCTGTCCGTCCTTTCCAGTGGGACTGTCCCCAGGGACGCAGCTCTAATGAGCTGATAAGTTGGTCTTAGAAGCAAACTCTCTTCCTTCCAGCCATTACTCAGCTGGCCTGAATGGAGCTCTGTGGTTCCATAACTCCAGGAAGAGTTATGGAGACCTTGAGCAACTGGTTTGGATTTATTTTTTAAATTTGTTTTCTGTCGTTTTTTCTTTTATCGCAGCTAATCTTCCTTTAGAATGTCTTCACTTAAGGTTCAGAACCCCAATATGCCATGAGTCTGTTTCCAAGTATATCATAAAACATCTGAAAGGACTAGGACAGAAATCTGGGGAGGGCTAAGTTGTAGCCCTGAATACTTGGGCAATTAGCTACCACTGCAACCTAGCCAGGCCTGGTGACCAGCATGTCCAGAAAGTGCAAAGGCATGTAGGAATGCTGGGAGAAGAAATGAGTTGCATATATCATTAGGTCTGGGAGATTAAAAATGAAAACTAGTAGGGCGGCACCTGTGGCTCAGTGGGTAGGGCGCTGGCCCCAAATATCGAGGGTGGCAGGTTCAAACCCAGCCTCAGCCAAACTGCAGCAAAAAAATAGCCAAGCATTGTGGTGGGCGCCTGTGGTCCCAGCTACTTGGGAGGCTGAGGCAGGAGAATTGCCTAAGCCCAAGAGCTGGAGGTTGCTGTGAGCTGTGTGATGCCATGGCACTCTACTGAGGGTGATAAAGTGAGACTCTATCTCTACAAGAAAAAAAAAGAAAGAAGGAAAATTAATAGTATCTAAGAATCACAGAAAATTAAAATTCAAGCAATTTCACTGCTGCTGAAGAAGTCAGTGTCATTTCTGAAGACCAAAAGCCATGGCCCCAGAGGTGGGAGGAGTGTGTTCCCATCTCAACTCTTCTGCCTGTTAGCTTTCTGACCCCAGGTGTGTCACTTAACATCTCTGGGCATTCATGTCACCAACTGTACAGAGACTGTAGTGGAATCTGGTCTGCCATACCTCTAGGGGTTATCGTGAGGGTCAAATGGTGTCAGAGCACTGTGCCTAAGTGCTTAACGGGGTCAGCCACTGCTTCTAAGGTGGTTGCCGCAGCAGCGGTGGTTGTGGTGTGGGGATAACAATTTTACTACGTGCTCTGATAGGTCCAGACCTTGCATGTTTTCACTTTTTTTTTTTTATCATGCCCCACACAGCACACCATGGAAATTAAGACTTACTAAATACAGTATAAATGGAAAAACTAGGAAGGTTTGGTTCAGACCTTTCCAAGTTCATGAGCATCCTGACAACATACTCTCAATGTCATCAAGTTTGCAACAAGTTAGCCATCATGTAAACATCTTAATAACTTTGTTTTTTAAAAAATAACAGAACATTTTGAACATTTATTATATTAAGTCATTTAAATCCTCACTTAGAACCCTGTGAACCCCTGTGAAGTTGAGACTGTTATTATCCCCAGTTTACAGATGGGGAAACTTAAACCCAAGGAAGGGAAATGACTTTCTTGAGTCCACACAGCTACCAAGTGGCAGAGGTGGGATGCAACCCCAGTAGAACCCCCACCTCTTAACCACCACTCTACAGCCTTCATGAGTATCTCCCAGATTCCTATGGAAAGTAACCTAAGAGAGGGAGTCTCATATTATTTCATCTGCCAGTTTTGATACAGCCTGGGGTTAGAGGCAGGAGAGGTACATGTGTCTCCAAAGCTCATGTGTGAGATGGAAGACTAGAAGACCCTGGTAGACCCCCCCCTCCCCAGCTCCTACAGTGTCCTTACATTTACTCCATGGGGTACAGGAATCAGGGAAGCAGCAGAACTAGCGAATCACGGAGCCCGTGAGGGCCATTGCTGTCTGTCCTATTCTAGCTTCGATTCCCTCCGTGTGTGCAGGGACCCCCCGGCTCTTTCGACTTCCTCCTACTCATGCTGGCTGACCTCCGCAATGACATCGCCGAGCTGCAGGATAAGGTGTTCGGGCACCGGACTCACTCCTCGACAGAGGAGTTCCCTTTACCTCAGGAATTTTCCAGCTACCCAGACACCATGGACTTGGGCTCTGGAGATGAGCCCCCGAGGAGAACTGAGACAAGAGACTCGGAAGCCCCCACAGACTTTTATCCCTAGCACAGCCTGGCTTCTTCATCCCAAAGGAAGAGAAAGAAGAGCGTTTTCAACTGCGGTTGAGTCATCTTTAGAGAAGAAAAACACCACTGGAAACCTAGGAAAGATCTATTTCTTTAATCTTCTCCTGACTTCTCCCTGTGTCTCTTTGTCCAAATACCATTTTCGAGTCCCCTGACACCCACCACAGACGTGAGGGAGGGAGTGACTGATCCACAGGCTTCTCTCTCAGAGTCACTTGAGATGGTTGGCATGGGGACTTTTCTTTTACAGACTACTTTTTCTGGAACTTCTGGATTTGAGTTTAGTACTCTGATAATGCCTTCAAACTTGGCCGAACACCAAAGAGAGAAAAATGGCAAGGTGAGCTCTAAGAAAATGTGAGGCTATTTCTAAAAAAATAATAAGAGGGTGTACAAAATAGACGTATTCTTCTGGTATCAAAATTAGGGCTCTTCAATGAAAAAGGAGTGGGGAGGACAACCATGTAGGTTGACCTTGGTGGAGAATTCTTTTTTCTTGTCCGTCTAATAGATTTTAAAGATTTTAAAGATTTTAAAGATTCTGTCCTTTTATCAGTGTTGTTTCTCCATTTTTTTAAAAAAGAGAAAATTAAGGAGATAAGAATTACAGTCACATGTTTACTGTCATTTGGGTTGCCATATTTTAAAATTAAGATATGGTAGCTTAAAGGTTCATGTCATGCTTGTTCAGAAGTATCCTATTTGGAGAAGAACAAATCTTTTTGAGAAACAGGGCCGGATATGCCCTGATTCACATTAGATCAAAATGTACTCTGGGTTTGAACTAGGACATTTTAAAGCTATTTGGTCAAGAGTGGGGCTGCCCTGTAAACCAGAGTATTTGTTAAATAAGGTGGCTGACCCTCAGGGCCAGGTGCAGAACCCCTGGTTCTGATTATGTGCCCAGAGATTCTATAAGGCCATCATTCAGGCTGGACCAATCCACAGTAGGACGCAAGGTTGCAAGGAGGTTGGTGGCAGATAGGAAGAGGGGACACTGGGCAATGATCCCACTGAAGCCATACTGGCAGTGGCAGGTAAATGTGCCCTCCTGGAGTGTGAGAAGTCCTTGTCTGGGCCAGCCAGCCTGCCACCATACTATGAATAATGCTTTATTGAAAGTTATGTTGGGCTGGGCGGTAGCACTCTGGAAGGCCAAAACAGGTGGATTGCTTGAACTCAGGAGTTCAAGACCAGCCTGAGCAAGAGCAAGACCTGCATGTCTACTAAAAAAATAGAAAAGCTATCTAGATGTCATGGCAGGTGCCTGTAGCCTCAGCTACTTGGGAAGCTAAGACATGAGGATGTCTTGAGACCAGGATTTTGAGGTGGCTGTGAGCTATGGCACCACAGCACTCTACACAGGGCAACTGAGGGAGACTCTATCTTTAAAAAAAAAAAAAAAAAAAA